CTTGCAAAGGTATTAAGGATTAAGAAAGGACCGGATGCCACGCGCATTTTTTTTTTTATATCAGTGTTTGCTCAAAATCTGGAAGAATTACAAAACTCATGATTTTTACTTTCTTAACCAAATATGTTTTATCTGATAAAGACCTTCCGATTGATTTTATTTTCATTATAATTTTGAAGTAGTAAAGCTGTTTGATATCATACACCTGTATACGTATGGTGCAATGAAATATAAAGTGTGATTTACTCTAAATAGCGGGATTATATAAATATAAACACTTATATTTATTTGTTTAAATACACACCTTAACTCGGTCCATTGAAATACTTTTTATTGATTAAAAATGTAATTTATGTTCTTAATGATGCACACAGGAATGAAATGATCAGATATGAGTCATTTTATGTTATCACAAATCCATTTGTGTATTTTTACAGGATATGCATTTTGAGTGGAAAACACAATGTCCGTGTACCGTGTATGGCAATCTTCAATGAAGTGTTTCCTGTTAAAAGTTATTGGTTGATGAAATCACAAGGGCTAAATAATACTACAGTATCAGTTCAAGAACATCAGAATTTAAGAAAATGTTATAAATTTGTAATTTAGAAAGTTAAAAACACATTGTAAGCATATCAATATTTCGATTAAGAAATTTAACGAATGAACAAAATTTGTTCACTAAAAGTTGTAAATAATTGTAAATGATGATTTTTCTGTTTGCTAGGACCCTCATACATCATAATCTGTCTGTTTGTCATAAAGTGAGCAATGGAAGTGACCTCTAGGCTGTTACCCTAGTAACGATTCAAGAAATATTGGTAATTTAGAAAATCCTATCATTTTTTTTCAACAACATGAAACAAAATAATGATAATCATTTAATGACTTTAGCTGCCGTTTGGTAAAAAAGTAACAATTTAGTCATTTGAATTCACAGTTATGTAAAACAAAAATGGAAGACGCCAAACGGAATGTTACAGAAGTTTATTCTATGAACACAAAAAGAAGAAGAGGAACTCTACAAATCAAAATATTAAAGAACGACCTGGTAACAGCCTAGCAGAATATAAAATGATAAATATCTGTTATCTAGTACCCTCAGCTATCACACTATGCTCGTCTTGCCATAAAGTTGGTGGTGAATGTGCCCACTTAGTACTTTATGATCCAAGTCATGTTGTGTTTTTATTTATGGTTTGTTCCATTTTAGTGATCATCAACAATGCCCTGCATGTGTCATTGTTTTATACTTTGGAATATTTATATTTGGAAATTAAAATAAATGAAATGAAATGAATGAATGAAATGCTAGACTAGCATCCTTACTATGTGCGAATAAAAACATACTGCAATTCTTTCGACTGGATTTTAATATAACAAATATATTGTCCAGTGACGGCTCTGTGTTAGAAGGGGGCACAAGGGCCCCCCCCCCCACATTTCAAATATATGTAGGCCTATGTATTATTATTATTTATTTATTTATTTATTTTTTTTGTGGGGGGGGGGTTGTTTTGTTGTTTTTCTTTTGTCAGATAATTTTAAAGCCAACTTGCCGGCATACGACAAATTGTATGACCCTTTTTCTTTTTTGGTTGTAAAATAATTGTTAGACTTGTCCACTGTTGATTACGATGTGAAACGACTTATACTTCTTTTTCTCTAGTATCAATTGCTATACGGATTCGTACTATAAAAATACGAAAAAACGTGATCGATCATTACTCTTGTTAATGGTAAGTTCGTAGCAGTAGAATACAAAATCAGCTGCGGATACTGTCAAAACTTCAAGCAGAGGTCCAACAGAGGAAGAGAGACAAACGAAATACATGATCGGTATATCATGTATATTACGATTCTGTGCATTGGACTAATCTGAGATAATCACGTACTTTGAAACTATTATTTAAGGCACATGAAATTTCGGTTTTCGTCATAAAAAATATCGAATACAAAAACAAATTATATATTCATTTCCACATTTTAAACATGATTATTTGTTGTTGTTATCCTTCCCAGGTATACTAAACGTGTAAACGTAAACTGAAGACGAAAATATACATACTTATCAAAGCACTCTCCGGCACCAGAATATGTATGGGCCAAATGTTATGGTAGGCAAAGTCATAATGTAGTTTATTGTCATCAAAATATCCAGACAACATTAAAGAGAACATTATAGAGAACATGAACGTGACAATGTAAATGTTCTTATTTTTTTTTTCAAATCGCGTAGATGAATCATGTATTACCAACAAATAGCCAGTACCAGAGCACAGAAAATCTATTTTGTATCTACAAAATATCATGGAACCAAAAAATAGGGAAATGATATAGGTACCATTATACCTTCTTGTTGTTTTATTTCGGATTTCAATTTTTTTTTTTTTTTTTTTAAAGAACACCGTTTGTTTCTTCTTTTTCTCGATCACCTAACAAACTGACTATTAAAAATCATTGATAACAAATTTCCTTCTTAAAATAACGAATTACGATCATCTTATGAAAACAGGTATCGCACAAATTCAGTATAAGCGGCATTGAATGATGATATTTTCATCAGATGGGATTCAGAGTAGATCTCCAGGATTCTTCTAAGTCATTAGGCAAACATTAAATATGACGTCAAAGATTCTATTTGAAACTTATTTTTAATTCTAATTCATAACGGAACTTATATCGGAGCTTACCGTTCAATTTGAAAGAAATTTGCAAGATGAACATAATACATGTAGAAAATTGGAACGGTATGACGAATTGGTAGGAAACTTGAAATATACAGAATATTCCGTCTTCTTTGAGGCGATCGACATTTGGGTGAGAGGTCATATTATACAAATATTTTTTCTGCTTATTTTGTTATATGTATCATCATAACACCGTGTTTATCATGTGATATTTACCCATCCAAGATTTTACTGCAGGGCAAGTAAATATCGAATCTTGTTTCTTGTCATGAAGAATCCATAAAGATAACGGGGAAAATTGTTCATGTAAATGTTCTCTTCTTTCCAATTAACTTCATATTGAGGTAATTATATCAAGTTCTACTGTTTATTGTTCTTTTATGTTATCCAAAAGACGATTCCTCTATTATGAAAAATCAACACATAATTGTTTCTGATCACTAATTATACTGGAAACTACATTTTAATTATCGTAGTTCACCGTGAAAAGAGTAGTTTAAACAAATCTGGCACTTTGAGTGGATTCAACTATGGTTTGGAGTGGAATCTCAAAAACGAAGTGATCCCCAATTATGAGTCCTGAAAAAAGGGGGTTGCCACTCTATGCCAGGGTTGTATTAAAGGTATAAACCAGTTTTGGAAACGCCCCCCCCCCCCCCTCTCAACAAATTAAATTGAAGCTCTTTTTACCAATCATGTTTAAAAGAATATGTTTTGACTAATACGTGATGATACAAATTTTGCCGGGAAACCTCCTACTAATTAATATATTTGCTTAATTTTCATATCGATCCGGCCTGGATAGATATCGCGATGCCATCTCAACATTTAACATTTGAGCATATATTTCTGTTTTTTGCGAATTGAGGTTGAAGTATTGCTATTTTGGCCTCTGAAGGCATTATTTAAACAATATCGAATGGATATTTTACACCAAAAAACTCTTGAACCGCAATTTTAACACTATTGGTTTTCATCTTTAACTCTTTATGCGTTGAATTGATTCTAAAGGGATAATAATGACAATTGTTCTTTTTACTTTTACTTTAAATTCTGCTTTCCTCATTGCAGTATTGATAATGGTAATTATTTTATAGATTTTACTTGAGAACATTAGCTATTTTTTAGTTTCTCTAGTACAAAGGGTTTCGGAAAAAACAAATTATTACGGTTGTTCAGTTCAAAGGTACTATGTCCCTTTTGCAGCCAACCTCAAATTCTGTAGAACTTTGCAGGAATTATGAATATGGCATGTATGTCCTATCTGTAAAATTTAAATGTTAGCAGTGTCCTAATATTCAAATTATGCAAGAAAACCTGTTTACTTGCTAGACTTCACTGTCAAACAATATTGAGTGACTGACTGGCTTTTTTCCATCTTTCGTAATAACATACATAAAATGAGCTGTAAAGGGTACAGGAGCATTTATCTACATCAATAACCCACTTCTTGTGATGGCCAAAATTAAACTGATTGAATCTTTGTGCAGCATAAAACGTATGACTATTCTGAAAATCAAGACTATTACTTATTGGCTCTATAGCTCCTAAGTCAATTTGACAACCAATAATCGTTATTTTCCCACTTGAAGACATTTTCAAGCCCCACCTTTATTAGGGAAGTTCTAAATTAGTATTATCTTTCAAATGCCGTTGGATTTTAACCTTTTCACTTTTTTGGCCTGCAAATGGGACATAGTACCTTTAATTGTATAAATGTGCAATTTTGCACACTTTACGGACAAAAGGTTAAAGAGAACCACTGGTGAACGACAGTGACTAATATTCAGCAGCAGTCGTTGCTAAGATTTTTTCCCCTAAAGTTTACCATTGGACAAAATTAATGCATGATACGTTGGTAATACATCCAAGTAAAAATGTAGGCGATACCAGATAAAGTTCGAAATGATGACCCGAGACTTTGGTTCATCGAGTTCCTTCGATTCCTTTTCATAGTCATTGTCACTACCAAAAAAAAAGTGGGGAAATCCCTTCAGAGGCGTACCAAATTTGATGTCATGGTATGAGATACAGAAATAGGTGATCAATAAAAAAGACATAATAATAAATAAAACAAATTTGAACGAACCTTAAGTCTACAACAAGCTTTTGTATGCAAAACAAAACAAATTTGACTCGCTCTTGATGAATAAACTGCGGTTCTGCATGAATATCAAAGCACAATTACAATTTGCTAGCACACGAGATACACAACCACAAAATAAGCGGTTAAAGGACGTACATTACGATTCGTCAATACTCCTGAGATTTACGGGCGGGACAGTCTGAAGTGTCTCTGCTGAAAGGAAGATGGAATATAAAAAGAGCATTTCCTTGCTTTTACTGCTGAAGATATTTCTTGTAGGAGTGGTTACGGGTGAGAAGAATATCATTACCCTGAACAATGGCTCCTATTCGAATCTACTCATCGCAATCGACAGGAATGTGCCTGAGAATCTGACCATCATCGACAATCTCAAGGTAAGAATATTTAGGTAAAGCGTTTTTTTACATCTCATGAAATGTTTTTTTTTTTTTTTTATATATCCCCTTATTAAATCCAAAATCAGAGATTAAACAATGACCAATGTTACTACGAATTATTACTGTCAATGCATTAGTACCATTATTATTACCATCATAACTACTACTACTACTACTACTACTACTACTACTACTACTACTGCTACTACTAATACTACAATAACTACCACTACTACTGCTGCTGCTGCTTCTATGTCTTCTTCACCTTCTTCGACTACTTTTACTATTATTATTATTACTACTACTACTACTACTACTAATACTACTACTACTACTACGACTACTACTACTACATGTTTGCAGCCGTCGATTTAGGGTTTGGTGAAAGGCGGAGGGCACCTTTCGAATTTTTTGACCAGCAAATGGAAACAACGCGATGTTGAAATGGATTGCTGCGTTACTTAAAGTATGCACGATTTGGGTTTTCTTAAATGTCATGGGTTTGTCTCCCATTCCTCCCCCTCCTCCCTCTATTCGCTAACCTACAAATTATTTTAAAGCAATTATACATGATCATGTATAACGAGATAATGTACCGAAAGCTAACACTTAATGTGAGATAATGAGGTTCAAGTAATAAGATTCAAAGTAAAGATAAAATGAACAAATTGCGGAATTCACGAGGAAGAAAACACCCTCGTCCCCCTCAAGAGAAGATTAACTTTTATATTTTCAAAACTTTGTATTATAATTCCTTGATTGTTCCGCAAATGTGTACTTGTAGGTGATGTGCAGCGACCGAGAAAGATAAATTGTGTATTTTGTAGTTTGAACGATTTCATGAATTCGTCTGGAAGGGGTGAGCGTCTTTGTTAAATTGTCTACAAGTGACTGAAAGGCAATCCTCATCCTGCAGTTAATCTTTGACCTTATGGATATTTTGCATTTCTAGAATCACTCTCAACTCTCAGCCTATGAATGTTTTATTATTTGCTCGGATTCATTTAACCTCCGGTTGAGTATCCAATGGTCATATGGAAACGTTGTTTCATCCGCTCAATCTGACTTGCCTGCATAGAACAATAAGCACTTTTGCATGAAAAAGTGATGTTTTCGAAATGTGAGTTTTTTCCAGCATCGGGGTGCTTTTCAAAAAGTACAATATGCAAAAATAATATGCAATTTCTTTGTACTTTTGTGGGAATAAACAAGAGCAATATAAAGGTCAACAATGGAAGCCGCTAGGTCAAAGGGAATCGGTGGCTCATCAGTCTGTCGCTGGCGCGCCACCCGGAGAAGCTCCCCGATTTTCGCCCAGTTTTCATATTGCTCCGGTTGTCTCATCACGTAGCTAGTTCGACGGCACTACCAAGCTAGAATGTTCCACTATGTTGCAGGATATATGTCATTGAGTGAACCGGGTGTGCAGAAATGGTATCTTGGAGAGGGGAGGTGAGAGTGTTCGTGTGCGTGGTAATTGTACGTGTGTCAACAATCAAAGACTAATAATGACAGTCAGATGGTTCATAAATCTACAATGACGAGTAAGCTGTCTACATCACAGTCCACATATAAATGTGACTTGAACGTATAGCAGACAGCAAACGGCGGATCAGACGACACTTGATAGTGATTTTCTATGTGAGATTGCTTTGCTAAATTGCACCCCTCTGTAAATAATCGAATGGTCCATGGCGTTCATGAATATTCATGTTTTTGCTTACCTCAGCAAACTGCTTGCCTATACTAAATGGAAAAATTAAGGTGGGGGGTTGGCTGAAATAATGGACATAATTGGACTTAATGAACCAGTCAGAACTGATCTATGATAATTCATGCTTGTTATCCTTCGTGTGCTTGACCTATAACCTTACAATCGTGTGGCCAATTGCGTCCAAAGTTCGACTTGTTGCACATGTGTTATATAGGCAATGGCGAGCTGGCGACCTATTTTGATCAAATTACGGTGGGTGAACTTTCAAAACTCAATGAGACACGAGGGTTCCAATGAAAGAGCTGGTGTCAACGTACGTCGGGGTGGATGTGCTTTTCCTTTAAACAAAAAATAATTTTTAACGATTTTTTTTTGTTTGGGGGGGGGGGGGGGAGGGTAAAAGTCCATAGGCTAAAATGTAATACTGCTGGACTCTGACGATAGGGGGCGTTGTCCAATGAGACTATTCGGAGCCATATGGACCTAAAATTGACCGGCGACCGGCGGGAAAGCGAAAGGGCAGCGCCCAGGCATCGCTGATGCTCTAAATACTGCTCAACTTCTCCAGAAATCTTTGGGCGATGCCTAAATTTTTAGCGGCGACCGAGCAGGCTGCAAAGTTGTGACCATAGCTTTAATGAATATACTAATCGTTAGCTTTCTTTTGATATTAAACTTGTTTTTATTTTAAATTTTTTTTTGTCGGAATAAAGGAAACTTAAACCGCTTGACCGAAGACCTTCAGCGTCTGAAGTCCGGGATGCACGCACAAATAAACAGGTTCTAATGACGTCATCATCGCTAAATCGGCGTCTTTCATCGTAAAATGCTACACGTTTACAATGTTTATACATCTTTTTTCATTAATAGTAAAATATAACATTATTTTGTTTGATACCACTGAAGTTTTGGGTTTTATTAAATGAATAATTTTATAATAAGATTAATTTTACTGTTTTAATTTACTGGATCGTATCATTAAAGTTGCAGAGTAGAGAGATGCATTTTCCCACCACGCCAATTTTTATTTACAGACCGATATTCTGCTAAATGAGTTCATGATGTTTTTCAAAAATCAACTGCTTTCTGCTTCACTTAACGTCCATATGCGGAGTCGTTTATCAACTAAATGGATTAAAATTCATGGATGCTTCTTTCCGAGGTATTTGTGGTGTTGAGGCATTCCAGTCACCTGCTATTATTTGTTGTACTCCATTAGCCAGAACGCAAGTTGCATTTTGGTTTTGTAGTTTCATTCAATAAGTAGGTCAATCAAATACTATAGTCTGCACAACAATAACAATTCGTGTCCCTGTTGTACATGTACTGCGCCTCTCCCCTCACTGTGTCATAGTTAATTTACCCATTTAAATAGTTGAACCACCTGCCCGATGACGCCAGTAGCCCTTTACCCCGAGCACTCAACACTGTGTGTAAGTCAGTTTGTGGCCAACTTCTTTTATGAGACAAATCTAACCAAACGTTTCAATGAATATATTTTGGAATATCAAAACTTGGCACTCAGACTCAGACATGTTAGACATCTAAACTCAAACATATAAATGATCATCAATGTCTTACAAACAGTAAAGTTACGAGTGTATTTTTAATTTAAATGACGAAGATGCATGTTGTATAAGAATATAAAAATATCATCATGTGCTATGAGACTCTAAAGAATGATGTGTGATATGAAAATCATATTTAGTGCTACGATGCCTGACAAAAAGGGCACTGCTTTGTAATAATATGAAATAAACAGTTTAATTTGGAGAGTGGAGAGATGAAAGGAAAGGAAAACAACATGAAATTATATAAGCAGACAGATTGCCCGAAAATGCTCGTAAAATATTATATCAGTATTTGAATGCACCTATTACAACATATTAGAATAAAGACAAATCATGATTTGGTTTGATGTACAGTATTATACCTGTTAACAGAACTGACCTTTGGTGTTTATTTGTTAGTAAATATACCTGTTAAAGTGGCTATGATCTCGTTTTATATCTTAACCATAATAATATTATTTTAACAATATACAACCTCATTTCATTATCTCTCTTTGTCACCCTCCGCCTTCTCCTCAATCCCATCCCTCTCTCTCTCTATATATATATCTCTCTCTCGCTATCTGTATTCATTTCCCTCCCTTCCCCCCTCTCTCTCTCTCTCTCTCTCTCTGTCTTTTCTCCACCCCTATCTCTCAACCTCCTCTCTCTTTCTTTCTCTATCTCAGACGATGTTTACATCAGCATCTCAGCGTCTCTACAATGCCACCAAGCAGCAGCTTTACTGGAGCCACATCAAGATTCTGGTCCCAAACACCTGGTCCATCCAGACCCAATACCAGTTTGCTAGGACCGAAACCTCACAGTCTGCAAACATCTTCGTGCATGACTTTACAGATGACCAACCGTATGTCGATAACTTCGAAGGATGTGGGAAAGAAGGAACTCGGATACACATGACACCGGCCTATATTCTAGAAGTACAAGACCGAGAAGACAAGTTTGGCAACACAGGTAGGCGTATTGCATGAAGTGCATTTTGTATTTAGATTAAATGACATGTACTTGTAGGTCTACAACTGGCAGAAGACAGCTTTGCCAAACTTGTGAAAAATCGACAGAAGCATATAGACAGTTAACAGACAGCATGATAGACAAATATCGGACAAAAATTAATGTTTGACATCAAAACTTTGTAAAAAGAAATGTTTTAAAAACCGAATCGACAAAGAATGACCAGATTAGATTAAATTAGCGACGGTTGCATAGAGTACGCCTACAACCAGGATTGCTCCATCCATTTTTATGGCTACAATTGAAAATCATTGCTAATCATTATACTCCCCTATATTACCATTATCATCATCTTATCAGGTAGGTAGTATGATTTACATACGCTGCGTGCGACCTAAATGTTATAAGTCGGTAGATTCTGGTTGTTTGCGTTCCCTGACCTATCTCTTGACATTTCGCAGTAGGCATGAATGTTGAAACGTGTTTTTTGTTCATCTTCATGTCTATAGACAACGTCTTAGTCCGAACCTGGGGTTATTACCGCTGGGGATTGTTCAAAGAACACTACGACGGCGACGAAGGTACTGATCCTACCTACGACTCACCCGATGGTAGCACAGAAGGAACCCGCTGCTCTCTCAAGATCAAAGGAACTCTCTTAAAGCATGATGGAACTACTTGCCGGAGTAGTCCTAACCAGTCCGATAATCCCGATTGCCGCTTCGTTCCTGATACTGAAGGACAGACGGCTACAGCTTCACTTCTGTTTGGAACCAGAGATGCTCACATTCATTCGGTAAGTTCTGTCCTTTAGTCCATGATAATTTATAATTATGTCCTTAAATTCAAATGAACGTAACACTGTCTAAACGTGGGATTCACATGAGGTGAGGTCCATTTTGTCATTTGCCTCCCTATATATATATTTTCCAAGAAGGAGGAAAACCAGGCAGAGTTACTATATCACGAGTAGTGTCTTGTCTTGGTATTGGGTCGTATCCAAGCTCTTGGAATCGTCAGTGTAGTAATAATTAAGATGATGCTGGTGACATATAGGTAAAATACATTTGGCTTGCCCCTTGACGTGTTAGTCGAATGGAGTTTCAATGAGTAAATATGAAATAGAACTTGTATTATACACATCAAAGACATCGAACAAAACATTTAAAATTGATCCAGAAACTTTCATTTGTTTAAAGGTAAATTAAAATATAAAACTTCTACCAACTTAAAATTTAGTCTATTTTTCTGATTTGTTCTGCTTTCCTTAAAATTAGTTTTCTATCAAGGTTGGATTTACCTTTACGATGATGCTGGTAACGTATAGGTAAAATACTTTTGACTTGCCCATAGCGTGATAGTGGAATGGAGTTTTGAAGAGTAAATATGAAATAGATCGTGTTTTCAACACCTCAAAGACATTGAACAACATATTTCAGACTGATACAGACAAATTTCATTTGTTTAATGGTAAATCCAACATCTTAGTTTAATTAATCTTCTACCAACCTTGAATGTTGTAAGCATACTTTCATACACTCCTGTGGACCTTTACAAGCCAGGTAAATTCTTCATATGTCCTTTGTTGGCTGCTGCGTCGAGACCACTTGAGCAAAGATAGGTGACAGTAATTAGTGAGTAGCCATAATTATCTGCCTTATCTATATTTAATCCAGATGGATTATTTTACCTTTCTTGACCAGAAATGTGTTTCAAATTCAATGACATGGGCATTATCCTATTCAACATTTTCGATTCTCTAATAACCATCGTTACCCGTATAACAGATAGAGAAGTTCTGTGATGACGACAAATTAGACCCGGATAGCCTACACAACCCCCTAGCTAAAAATCTCATGAACAAGTTATGCGGTGGAGACAGTGCATGGAGGGTAATGAAGGAACGGACAACAGACTTCCTGGCGGATGTACTACCGGTCTCTTACACCACTCCTGTAATCGAGGTTCTCCAGCTCTCGTCGGTCAGAAGTGTAGTACTTGTCCTCGACACCAGTGGTAGTATGGCAGTAAGTCTGTGTTCTGTCTTCCTCTCCATTTCTCTCTCTCTCTCTTCCTCACTCCACCTCCCCTCCCCCCCCCCCCCCATCTCTCCAATGTTGTGGTCTAGTGAATATGTCATCGTTCTGCTGGTCACATGGTTCGCCGTTCGAATGTCTTGTGGGAGGATTTTAATCTAAATGTGCAACTCTCCAACCAGCGCATTAGGGTATATGGGCTGAAGCCAAGGTAATACAAAGCACTTTGTAGGTGCTTAAAGCTACCACTTGTGTAGAAAATTGTTCTTTTTATCATTATTATTTTTGTTGAAATATAAATGTTACCCAAGTGGAGGGGATCTTTTATTTCTGACAAGCACACATGCGCAAACTTAAAAGGGAATAAGAACACAATAGGGATAAAATGGACACATTATTATTTTCGGTCACATTGGGTATTGTACGTGCTAGGGCTCGTTCCCCCCCCCCCCCCCTCACCCCTCCCCCCCCCCGTGTCTAGGATAGAGTTCTACATTTAACAAAGCTGAAATGTCAAAACTCGCTAACACAAATACTATGCGCTATTAAATTTGCAAGATTAAAAAATGTGCAGGGTTGATTTTGATATTGATATCTAACTTAATTTGAATACAGTTTTTATCAATAATTAATGTCTAAATATATCACACATAGTCAATTTCTTTATCAAAGCCTGATATTCAAACCACATTATGTTGTATCAAAAGCATTTCAAATGTTTTTATTACATATTTTAACATGTACTAAAAATAGGCTCAGGGTTCACTCCGTGGGACCCTGCCCTTAACATATTATAATGGACAAATGATGACATACAAATAGATGATTATTTACACTTTTATATCGTAAAATATAAACACCCTGTTGAACTTACATAAAACTATTAGTATTCAAGTTTGAAATTTAAATCGTTATTGCGTCAATTATTAAAGTGGACGATTAAAATCAAAATGGCCTACTAACGCTCATACAATGAGTGGGGTGATCACACTGCCTGTGCACACAGTCTGCCCCGCGAACACACACACACAACATCAGTCAGTTGGTAGAAATAGCAATTTTTGTAAATTTATTTAAAAAAAAACTAAACAATATTTTTTAAAAAAATATTTCACATATATTTCAAGCATACCTTGAATAACAATTCTGTGTAGTTTCATTGTTATAGGCATGTGGAAAACATGTTAAATGATTTAATTAGAATATTGTCTTTTTAGCCATTGTGTGACATGGCCCGCTGACTCGCGCTGCTATTCTGCGTGGTGAAAATGCACCTCAATGTATAAAACTCCCCTACAAAAAAATGCAATATCCTCATGTGTTTCACTCATTGAATCAATTTGTTGTTTACACCCAAGGTAGCCACAACTAAACTGGGGTCACCAAACTTTTTTTCACTCTAAAATTCAGTCCCTGTAAAATGTTATGGCCTGTTGAAGGGTTTCTCGGAAAATCGTCATAAATCCTCAAATCTGACATTTTTTTAAAAGGAAAATATACTGTGATGTGGCTGAAGGTCTGCAAATTTTAATCATTTGATCATTTTTTCTTAATAATTTGTGAAACACATGAGGAAATAGCTGTGACGGTGATCCAAGTAATTTCCATCGCCATATTTTATTGGCATTGCAAAAATATTTGGAATTTAATGTTAATTTTTGGTGTAAATATGATCTATAAATTTATGATTTAAAAAATGCCAACAAAATGAACAGTTTGACTTTCCTTTATATATATATTTAGCTAAAATGACCTAATTTGCATATTTGATGAATATTCATGATCAAAGCTGATTTTTCCTTGCAACAATAATATATTTTTGACAAACCGAAGGCATACGATCGCCAGATCATTGGGATAACTTCTCGGTATTTAGATCTAGGCCTATAGGTCTATAGCAGCTGCATTTTTCTGTCTCAGAAATTGTTTAATGGTAGGATACTGGAAGCACTGGCGTACTGATGGGGGGGGGGGGGGTGGTTATTTGACCCGCGAAATAAAATTGAAATGTGATTTATTTCTAGATTTTCTGGGTTGGTTTCGTCAGACGAGGCATTCTTCATTGAGGGGGGGGGGGGGCACTGTGCCCCCACTTTTTCAGGTTCCCCTAAATTGCCCCCTTTATTTTTAATGGTAGGAATTCATGGAAGGGTACTGGAAGCACTGGCGTCCTGACGGGGGAGGGGGCAGTTGACCCGTGAAATAAAATTGAAATGTGGTTTATTTCTAGATCTTCTAGGTTAGTTTCGCACAGTCCAAAATAGATTCTTGTTGCCGGTCTTGTTGCAAGCGCAAGGAAAATCATCTTATTCTTTAGAACAGCTCTTAAAATACTCACAATTTCCATGTTTCCTGTCATAACTGTGTTTATAAAAGAATAATGAATACATAAAATGACAATTTCATCTAAGATCAGGAAGATGAGGGATTTTAGCTCTAGAAATCATGAGGGGAAAAAAGTGTGGCGAGTTGTCCGAAAAGGCACCCCACCCTGGACAACTCGCCTGTGGCGAGTTGTCCAGGGTAATGTGGCGACATGTCCAGGGTATTGTGGTGGGTTGTCTTGGGGCGGGTTGTCTTTGTGGCGAGTTGTCTGGACCCCCTGTCTGATATACATAGGTTTCACTGATGTATCATGTTCGGTTTTGATTTGATTACATAAGCGCATATTAATTAGGCGGACTTAGTTATGTTCACAACTTTTCACTGCAGATTCGCAAAAATGGCAAAAATTACTTATTTTGTTGGCTTCTGTTTTCAAAACGGTAATAGATATATGAATTTAGTTTTTTGTATTTTTTACCACAAAGATAATATTCTAGTGTCTGATAATTTAATTTATTATTTGTGTCTGAGAAAGTGATGAATTAAGTTGTCAACTTTGTCGAATTTTGCCATTTTTGCCCATTTGATCATTTCTGGCAGGTTTTCGGTAATTTTGCGATTTCAAAAAGATGGTATAAATTCACAACGCATTGACCGATTTCAATTCTGTTTTTTGTTTTTTGAAGCTTTCATAAAGCTGGATCATTAGCAATCATCAAATAACATGTGTTTGTTGTACCTATTTTTGGTGCGCTATACCTACAATGAGTCTTTTTTTGTTTGTTACCATAATGACATCACATGCTTTTGTTTTCAGGGGAACCGATTTGACCGAATGATCCAGACATCTGTGCATTACATCATGACTGTAATTCCCGCAAACAGCAAGCTAGGAATCGTAGTCTTCGACACGACATCGAAAGCCAGTGAACTTCTTACGGATATTACCGATACTGCTTCGCGTCAAATACTCGTCGATGCTTTACGGTCATCACCGGGGGGTGGCACGTGCATCGGATGCGGGATATTGTCAGGCATTCAGGTACCATTAGCTAGGTCTCTAGCTAAGTTATACCCGCTGCACACGAGGCGTAATTTGCCTGACGCAGGACTGCGACAGCGATTGACGCGGTATTTGGTGTACCATGTCAGAGCAACATCGAACGAAAAGTTAATGGAAAATTAACAGTGCGTACACTGTGTGCAACGGGCATAACTTGGCTTATGCCGAAAGGGTGGGTATGGTAGCGTCGCGTCGCGTTGACTTGAACGCGACCATTCGTCCAAAGCCCCCCCCCCCCCCCCGGTTTGGCCGAAAGGGTGCGTTGTTTAGTCTTCCACATCAGAGCCATTCGTTTATAATAGAATTTAAGGAATAGAAATTTAAGTCGTTTAAATTCAAATAATCAAAATAGAAACAGATTAAAAATTAAATCAAACTTGTTTTACGTAGTCTTGCAGATCAGGCGTTTATGAGAATTAAATCAATAAATAACAAGAAACACAATCAAATAATTTACTATGATATCTAAAATGTCTAATAAAGGTGTTTACCTAGTCTTGCATATCTGTCGTTTATTTATTAAAAAAACGAAAAATAATATCCATTTATTTCTATGTATGGAATTCAGAAAGCCCCCCCCCCCCTCCCGCCCGCTCATCCCGAAAGAGTGCATTAAGGTGGTAGGCCTACTCCGTTATTTTTTAAAGTATTTGTTATTCATTTGTAAAGACTGTTTAGCATGACTAGTTTACATCAAAAAAGAATTCTATACATAGAAAGAAATGGATGTTCTTTTTATTTGGCCTTTTTAAAATGTTTATTGTATTCATTAATTGATGTAATTCTTATAAACGCTTGATCTGCAAGACTACGTAAAAACTAGTTTTTTTTTATTTTAAATCTGTTTCTATCTTGATTATTTGAATTTAAACGACTGATGTGGAAGACTAGTCAACGCACCCTTTCGGCCAAACCGGGGGGGGGGGGGGGGGCTTTTGACGAATTGTCGCGTTCAAGTCAACGCGACGCGACGCTACCCACCCTTTTGGCATAGGCCGCATAACTTCACAAATTTATTTAAACCTATAACAGCCATTAGTAAATCATTTACCTAGTCAAAATATACAATAATTTATCAAGCAGTTCTTCAAGAGCAAGCAGAATAGTGGAATTATTTTTTTCCGCATTAGTTTGCTTTAAACTTCATTATAACAATTGGTCTATTCCATGAATAGTCTTTAGAATTTAAATTGAATAACTTGTGACGTAATGTTTAATTTGTATTTCTAGGTATTGGGTTCCTATTCGCGAGGTGGATACATGTTACTCCTCAGTGATGGCGGAGAGAATGTAGCTCCATACATCAGAGACACGTTTGATGACATTGAGAACTCAGGAGTCATAATTGACACCATCACTATAAGCAACTCAGCTGATCAGCAAATGGAAAATCTTTCCAAAAACACTTATGGCATATCAAGCTTCTGTACAGATACCGGGATTGGGACTTGTCTGATGCAGGCGTTCCAGAGTACCATAACGGAGAGACCAGACGTTGGCATGGAAACTGTTCCTATACAGGTATGTCGTAACTTTAGTTCAAATTATCACCCTATGTATGCGAGTCAGTACGTTGTAGGCAAAAAGGGTAGTGGTTTCTCAGATTCATAATAAACCAGCAGGGTCAAAGGACATCAGGGATAAAGCAGGGATAAAGGACAAAGGACAAATGAGCGTGATTAGAATTCCACATAGACACGTAATAGGTCCTTTTCTTGTCTTTAGTCTCCTTCGTCACAGAATTCGTCAAATGTCAGATAGTTTGCAGATGACTCAATTGTATTTTATACGTTTCCTCCTAGCAAATTTCGTTTAGATTAATTTCCAAATAACTGCAAATCTTGAATGAATTTGCGTTGTGTAAAAAAACAGTAACAAAGAAAGGGAATTCTTCATACGTGATATTCATTGATGATTTCCTTTAAAAAGCACATCGTTCAATGATAGCTCATGACACACATTTTCTAGCTCATTATTTGAACGAAAAAAAAAAATTAAATCTTGTTTTGGAATTTCTTTCAGATCTACAGTTCAGGGGTCATTATCGAACCCGATCCAGGTTTCTACATTATTCCGGTGGTCATCGACACCGCACTTGGCAACGAAACTGTGTTCACGGTTATCTGGACGGAGAGTCAATCGATATCAGTCGTAGTAACTGGGCCAGGCGGTACTCGAGTTGACCATAACGATCCTCGCTATCACATTGATATGAACAACATGATTGTGACGATCAACTTACCTCTTGCGCAGGTTAAGTTTCTGAAACAGTCCCTTTACCTTTCTTCCTATATACATTATAAATATTTAAGATATCTCTTCAACGATTGTGGAAACCCATAAATAAAGTTAGGTTGTTTATAATGTTTCCAAAGATGTGTGGGAAACTTGTATTCCAAAGTTTCAAGCCATTAAAAGTAAAAGATTTTGTCCACTATTTTTGCTTGTCATCATCTTCTCCGTCTACTTGATACGTACTAAACCTCGCGTAAACCTGTCGTATGAACAACAATGACTCTTTCCCCAATATAATATCAGCCTTTCTTTTCTTTAACCTTGCTGCTCGTAACATGCCAGTATGGAGGAAATGTGTGGTCAGGTCATTTTAATTCTAAAACTATGAATTTGTATTTGAATGTTTTTTGCCTAAATTGGCAAACAAATATTCTAATATTGCCACATTCGACAGAGAACACACCCACACACATGTTAGGGTCTGCGATATTCGCTAAACCAGAAGTGAATATTATGAATATTATAATTAGTATTTTTATTATTACTAACTGTGATTGTTAATATTTTCATTATTGTTAAAATCACTATTATTTTTTTCATCACAATCATGATCATTATTATCAGTTTTAATATTATTGTTGTTTCGGTTGTTGTTGTCGTTTTTCTTCCTATTAATATCATTTTTTGTCATTCTTATAATTTGTATTATTTTCAAAAAGGCTGGTTTATGGAATGTAACCATTAACGACTTAGAAGCAGGCGTCGTAGAGTATGCTAGTGTTTCAGTAACATCTAAACAAACTACGCAAGAATATTCGCCAGTGACAGTGACTGTGTTATTAGGATCTCGTGTAAGTATACTGTTGATTTATTTCTGATATCAATCTATTTTGACGGTTAGACGGTTTTTTGCTATTCTATATTCAAAGCAGTCGTATGTTTTGTTTGTATTGGGGATTGGCTAAGCCATGCCGCCCTAACAACATGAAAATCCCATATGATAATGAACAATTGTTTACTGAGGAATCTATTTGATTAGCAGGTATAGGAATCAATCGATCTGGTGTTTTAAAATATATTTATTTGGCAATGACATGTCTCTTTCCACTATACTGATGGTTTTTCTATTCATAGCATGAGCCGTGACTGAAGATGAAACATATTGCCTAGCTTATTTATCATATTTCCTGTTAACCATGTTTGCTCGTTCGTTTTCATCTATATCTGTCCTTTTTTAAGGAGGTGAATTGTTCCCAGAATCCATCATTAGCTATCTATGCTCAGGTTCAACAGGCAGATAATCTGCCTGTTTTTAACGCTGACGTCACAGCTATCGTTTCGGATTCATCTAAAACGAACCGAGAGACATTGCTCGACAACGGGATAGGTGAGCCAATAGCGAGCTTTAGATTTGACGCGACGAACGAGGGATGCGTCAAGTAACGTCATGCACTGGGGGCACCTGCACATGTGTCAGCTCGGCCGCCGCGGTAGCACATATGCTCTGTCTGCCTATTGTGACTGTGTATAAATATTTACAAAGAGTACCTGTAATATTTCATTCTATATTTCGAGATTTAATCTTGAGTCTTATTCTATTTTTTTAAGTTGGATTGTGTAACTTTTACTAGAATTCATTCGGTTTTAGCATTGAAGTGCCTTACTATCTACATCATTCCGATTGTTGTACACCTGTCTGCTACCGAACCACGGAAAATGTAACGGTTCAAATATTTATTAGAAAAAGTGGCAATTCGATTTCGATTTTATTTCTTCCAATGCAAAACTTTTCGATAGCGAGTCGAAGCCTTTCCCAGTAATGGTCTTTAGTAATAAAGCAGAAATCTTATTCTTCATACTATCTTCTCTATGCATTCCTTAGCGTCAGACTTAATGAAAGATGACGGAACATACTCAGGGTTCTTCCTAAACTTCACTTCCGATGGCAGATATAACGTCAAGGTCAATGTCGTCGGCTATGATGTCACAGAATATCGGAGAGGTTTGTAAAAGGATCAAGTTTAACATTTCCTCCGGTTCATATTATTTAGGCATATGTATTAAAACTTTCAACAACAACAACATTGACGAAAACTTCATACTCAATTGGTAATAGACGTAAAAATCCATTCCTTCCCTAGACATATGTGAAATCACTTTTAATTTTACAGTAAATATAGAAATCATAGCATATTGTATGTATAGTATGGGACCATGGAAGGTCTAACCCTAGTGGAAACACTGAAGTGATGAAGGCTTTTTACCCAAATGTAGGAAGTCCCTTGTTCGACCCGTGCTCGGTGCCTACATCCATGGACAAAGTGTTTTGTCCCTTTCTACCCAGGTGTTAAATGGAAACCTTGCAATGTAGCTATAATAGGAATGCAGTGATTTCAGGAAAAGCACCATTTATGCTAATGAGGCTACCATGAGTACATAAGGATCAAACTATCATTACCATTATTTCATTCAATACAAAATGTTGGAATATATTGACTGATCCCATTGGGAGAATTTATCTGAAGAAATGTCATGACGATTTTTATACAGTTTCCGTCAACTGTTTGCATCCAGGAAAAAGGTCAGCAGAACTTGAAATTGAGACCGCATCGGAGCTATCCTTCATGCGTACAGCATCGGGAGGAGTCTTCAAAGTACAAGGCTACACTCCCAACGCCGCTGATATTCTACCACCTTCCCGTATCCAGGACCTGGTATACACCTCTTTCTCCTATGACAACAGCACGGTGACCCTCAGCTGGACTGCTGTAGGAGACGACTTGGACCAGGGAACGGGTAAGCAATCAATCAATCAAGTGTTCGAAGTCTTGAAAGGGGCTTCGGCAGAGATGGCGCTAGGGAAGGGGGGGGGACACGGTACCCCCACACACTTTTGAAGTACCCAAATAGTTTCACTTCAGATTTATACCCCTATTTCTTTCTAATATGCGCCCCTTCTCATTAGTGCCCCTTTTCACATATGATAATTTCTCCCCACTCAAATCCGATAAGCGCCCCTTTTGATATGACAATTGCCTTTTTTTTTCCTTTGTTATGAATGCCACCTTCCCCTTTTTTATTAGTGCCCCTTTTTTACCATATGATAAGTGCTCCTTTTGTAGAATATTCATGCTCGTTTTCGTCGCTATCAAATTTCCCTTTCCTAGAAAATGTTCAAACAATCACACATAACTATAATTTATGGTATTTAAGAAATATCTTGGACCACGAAGATTATAAATAATAATGGACAGTCTTTAATAAGTACAATGTAGGGGTGTATACCAATGTCTAAAATTTCATTTCATTTCATATCTGTATATGCAATAGAGTTAGGCCTGTCGATAATATAGCCATACATCTCTATACTGTTTTAATTTCCACTACATAGCCTACAGTTACGAACTCCGCTATTCCACCAACTACTACGAGGTCCGAAACAACTTCAGCAGTAGTCATGAGGTCACACAGGATCAACTAGTCTATGGGAACCTATCCTATATCAATCCAGCAGGGATTATGGAGAATGTCACTATTTCTCTCCCTGAGAGGGGGCAAGATATCGTCTACTATTTCGCAATTCGGGCTTGGGATGTTACAGGGAACAGAGGGGACTTGTCCAACATCGCTTCCCTTTCAATCCGCTTCATACCGGTGTCTGAACCAACCACCGAACCTCTACCGGTGTCAATACCCACCACCACCCCCACCGAACCAATACCGGTGTATGGACCCACCATCGAACCTACTGGGCTAGACAACCTGGCCCTAATCATCGGCGTGTGTTGTGCAGTGGGTGTGGTAATCATCGTTGGCGCTGTCATGTTGTACATTTACTACCAGAAGACACACATTGCACGGACGAAACCTAAGTCAGCTTCCACGCAGGAAGGGCTTCCAGAATTGGCGGCGATGCAACATAAATCAACCTATGATGATTTTATTTTCGCTACAAATTGATTCACTCTCTGAATTTACACTGTAATGGAAATCATATCCGAGGGAGTCATGTAGGGATCACTTCGTTTCTGGGGTAAAAATGGAAACGCAAAAGAAAGTGAAATTCAGTTCTTTAAATGTAATTTCAGTTATTTGTCCAATTACGTTTGACGTGGATACTTGTATGACTAAACGGCTCTAGCATAACAGTTTGCAAGAACAGAAAATAAGATAAAGCATTAATATGTTTTGATGATAAAAATATACGAAATTTTTTTTTTGTGTGTGTTTGGTTATTGCTTGTCTCACTAAACACATTTACTACGTCATGTAATTTAGCTGTCTTTATAAATTAGGGACCCAATTTGTGACATTTTTGGTGTCCCCCTTACATAAGGAATCCAGACGTATTCGGAGCTCTGAGTAAATACTAAAATAGTGGAGTGAGATTGTATTGTAAAGTAATTTCCAAGCACAATATTGCATCCTCATACCTAGAATCACTTTACAATCTCACTCCACTATTTAGTCTTTACTCAGAGCCACCAATATGTGTAGGTTCCTTATGTAAGTGGGACACCAAACATATCACAAAGTGGGTCCCTAATTTATGGAATTACCCATATACATGAAAGTCAAAGTCAATACAATTAGGCCATGAACATTTAACCTGTTGACTACTGAATTGTTTTATTCGCATAGGCTTAACACAGCGACCACCCGGTTCCAGGAGTCAATGGGTTAAAAGGCAGCTCCGAAACTGCATTGATGACAAGAGAAACTTAAGCATTAGTTCGAGTGGATTCAGGGGTGGTCCATTGTATTACTCCTAAAAAAGAGTGGAATTCCACTTTTTCGTATTAAAAGGAGCATCGAAGTGAAATCCAACTTAAATAGCAAACTACTCTAGAAGAAAGCATGATACTCAGATAAGTAGACATTTTTAGTGATCATTTCGGCTTGAGTAGAAACCCTTCCTGAAAAGTAAATCGAGTGGAATTCACTCACAAAAGAAAGGGTTATTTAACTACTTTGGAAAGAATAAATTTGGGGCGAATTCGACTCCGAAGAAAAGGATCCTTAATATGACTTCTGACAAGAGTGATTACTATTTCTCTTCATGTGATCTGATCCTACCTAGTAGGACTAAATGCATATGAGATGTAGCTTTTTATGTCTACCAAGCTGATTTATCCCTACTCAGAGTGAATGGTGTGATCAATTAAGATGTCGAATATTGGTCAGGCAATCCCGTTGCCAAACTTATCGATGATATACTTTGTCGTAAACAGGATAAAATTGTACAACGTTTTTTTTAATTATCGACTTCGCAAATAATCGACCAAATTTGCTTGATATCACAAAAATCGAAAAATCTGAACACCGAAATTGACACAGACGACTTCACAGACATGTGGATGCAGAATTTGTTCCAAAATAGTTTTTTGTGATATAAAAATATGTTGGAGCAAACCTTGTATGGATCTCTGCTTCTACCACTTCTTCCTTTGTACATGGCAATACTAATAAAGAATATATTATCTAGCACATTAATTCCAACATTACCTGAAATCAACCATAATATCTTAAGGTTCTCGAATTCAGTATAGGAAAGTATCCAATAACAAAATGTTTTTAATTACTTGTTTGTTATTTGTTTGATGTTTGTTGCTTGTTTTTGTTTGGAAAGTTAGAGTGCTATGTCATTATCGGGAATAGCTTGAATATATTATTATTCAGATATCATAGTCAGAAAAAAAATTAACAATTCACTCATAAGCCTGAACTATCACCAATTCATTCAGATAATTCTGTTCTGTTTGATGCTTTGACTAAAGGATTCTTTCCAATATTCAAGCAATAAGTATCATATATTAGTTATACTGTTCCTATTCAAATAGAAGAATAAAGGCTTATCTCGGATGTTGTTTTTTCCCAATACTGTGTGTGTGTATATATATACTAACTGATGGATTTCGAAACGGAAATATGCCTTCAATAATTTTGAATTGTTTTCGACGTTTAAGTATCATAATGTTATAATACATGTATATGAGTTTCTTTGTTCACATTTACTCGGAAAAGAACCAAAACATTGTACTCGGTTTTGTTGCTGTTGTTTTTGTATTAGTGTTTTTATAACTAATCGATCGAATCAGAGACTTATCAATGATTGTTAATAAGTACGGCCTAAAATTTTGTTTACGGTCCTTTTTATTCTATCTGTATTGGATATTACAAAGTTAATGAGCTGTATTGACAAATAAAGAGAATTGGCATGAGACCTGTGATTTTGAGCGATTGCTAAATTTTAACACGAGGGCTTGATCGATGGTTATATCATGAATGAATATAGTGAGTGTGCGCGTGAGTGCGCGTGTGTGTATACGTGTATTCGTGTCTGTTTAAATACGCACATTCTCTCCAATTTGTTCATTCTACACATGCGAGGACAGACCGAGGTTCCATGGTGCCTTAAAAAAGTGATGCTTTGTCCAGCCGTCCTCCCCCTCTACAACAACCAAGGGACTAAGGAGGTTTTGAGAACACAGCAGGCAAATTATAAGAATCAAATTCGATGCCAAAAGAGTCGGATCAGGACAACGACCTCGATCTAAATTCACCTAGAACAGCTACCCCTTTAACATGCTTCGGTCAGTAGTCTCCAGACAAATATATGTATCACCATAGAAAAATGCACCCTTGATAAAGAATTCCCTTGATAATTTTCTCTGCATAATTAAAGACAACTACCCCCGGGACACCTTTCTTCGAACAACTACCCAATGGACAACCACTCCTATGACAATAACTCTGAACATGTTTCATCTAATACCTACCCTGTATTAAGTAGGAAGTAATATTAGAAAGGGTAAAGGGAAGAAATATATTGGTAGTTCTTGTCCAGTGTTGCCATATTTAAAATGTCCAACGGACCACGAATACATTATTATTTATGTAGGCCGATTAATAATGATGGTATTTTTTCCCTCCTCCTCTTCCTCCTCCTCTTTTCCACCTTATAATAATAATAATAATAATAATAATAATCATAATAATAATAATAATACAAACATTTTTTAAGCGCTTGTGACATAAAAGTTTCAAAGCGCTGTACACAAATCAAGATTACTTTAAAAAAACAATAAATATAAGTTACGTTACCTAATTTCCAAGAAAACAAAATATTACTAACATTACTTAATAAATTAATATTACTTAAATTACCAAAAAGATAAAATATTACTAACATAACTTAACAAATTAACATTACTTAAACTACCAAGATGATCAGACATTATTAACAAAAGAAATTAACAAAAAATGTAAATTCCTTGGAAAATTAACATATGATATCATTATATCAATAATAGCAACAATTTAAAAAGACATAATATAGGTATTGTAATACTAATGTAAACTTTAATATTTTATAGTTATTTGGTGTTTTTTGGAATAGATAAGTTTTTAGATTCTTTTTGAAAATGTAAACGGTGGTTGAGTCCTGGATATTGATGGGGAGAGTGTTCCAAAGAGTGGGGGCACAAACTGAGAAGACCCTTTCACCATAGCGGTTGTGGTGCGAGGACCAAGTGCGAGCTGGGGTCTGGATGATGATCTAAGGTTCATGCCGGTAGTCTGTTTGGGTGAGATCAGTTCAATCAGGTATGAGGGTGCGCGATGATGGATGATGTTGAACGTGAGGAGAAGGATCTTGAATAGGAAACGTTGAGGTTTTAAGAGCCAATGTAGGGTGCGGATGACTGGAGTGATGTGGTCGTGCTTTCTAGTGCTAGTGATGAGACGTGCAGCGGTGTTCTGTGTGTGCTGATGAAGTGGGACCAGATGACAAGCAGGTAAGTTGATCAATAAACTATTACAATAGTCCAAATGGGAAGTTACCAGATCATTTACGAGTCGTTCAGTAGAGCTGCATACGATCAAGGTATTTCCGTATGTTCCCATTCCTATCAACACCAAAGCTAGCTGCCCGACATACCTTTCGGATGTGCTTCCTCAAGTCTAACGAGTCATCCTCCTCCTCCTCTTCTCCTATCAATCATTTTCTTCATCTCCTTCCTTTTATTAGAAAATGCCAAAAAACTCATCGTACCGAGTTCTCATCAGACAAAACCACAGAGCAACAATCCGGCGGCTCATCGCGGGTTACGACATGGAGAGATGAGCCCGCCAGCTACTATGGTCAATCCACGGCTACTCCACGGAAACCACGTCAACCCCAAGACCAGTCCCGTTCGCGTCTCATTTTTTTCGTACCACGGCGAGCCCAGATTCCAGTATGAACTCATTTTCATACAGAACAAGCTAGGAAAGCTTGCAAAGAGGTAGCATACAATTGAAATTTGATTATTTATTGCTTTGCCTCACTATTTATAGAGACAAAAAGACTAAATAAACTGTGATTTGAACCCTCACGTCAACTGCAAAGCTCTTTTAGTATACGCTGTCTTTACCGATTGAGCTAACGATGAGTTGATGGAAGATGGATTTGTATAAGTACTATCACCCCATTAACCACCCTACCGGATTCCATGTGCGCATGCGCTGGTTTCCTTCGCGAGTGCGCATGCGCAGGTTCCCCTCGCGAGCTCAATCTGGGCTCGCCGTAGTACGAAAAAAATAAGACGCGTCCCGTTCATATTCTAGCCCCATCTACATTACTTATCTTTTTATGTTTTAATGTTGATGTTTGTTAACTGATGTAGATTTCATTGTTCTTTTATGCTTATGTATCTGTTTTTTCATTTGCTCTATGTGTCAAATGTGTACAATTAAATCTGTTACCTTGTATATTTTCTGGTTTTTAATGTGGAAAATAAATGAAATGAAATGAAATGATATGCAGCACGATTACATTGACCCGGAAATGATTGCAGAACCCCGGCGCGAAACTGCTATTGTCATCGACAAGTTCATATTCATCTTATTAACAATAACAGCAGTTGCATATTTGGTCTTTATGATTGTATTATTTCATACCAGCTCTAAGTTAAAAAAAC